CGCTGGCCACCAGCAGTAGGAGCTGGCGAGGGCTTTCATGCAGACAATACCTGGATGTGCATCATGTAATTCTTTCAGTACAGCTGACCTGAGAGTCAATGGAATAACGATGCGAGATCCACGTAGGATACATCCTTCATGCAGGCTCAGCTCAAATCTACAATTGAAAAACGGACGCAGATCACCAGGGGCTCGCGAACCCCAGCCACGCAGCAGCATACGTTTCACAGTCGATAGAACGGGATCTCTGTCTGTAGCTTTCCTAACCATGTCGCCAGATATGGGTGTAGTATTCAGGTGTTGCAAAAGTTGAACAAACTCGTAGGGCGCGTCACTTCTTTCCTCCTGTTGGTCAATCTGTGGCAATCTACTGAGCGCATCAGCGACATTATTGTGAGGACCGGCAATGTATCGGATTTGATAGTTGTAAGCAGAAAGTAGGAGGGCCCATCGTACCATTCGGGGTGCGTTAAGTTGTTCTATGCCCCGTTCCTTACCGAGAAGTGATAACAGTGGTTTATGGTCAGTCTGTATCTCAAACTGGTTGCCCCACAAGTACTGATGGAACCGCTTTACTCCGAATACTACGGCCAGTGCTTCCTTGTCTAATTGTGCGTAATTTTTCTCAGCAGGTTGTAATGTGCGGGACGCGAAAGCAATAGGGCGAACTGTTCCGTCATGGACCATATGTCCCAGCACTGCCCCGACTCCAAAAGGTGAAGCATCACACTGTAGGATGAGGGGTTTGTTGGGGTCGTAATGTACCAAGACTGGTGAAGAAGCAAGGAGACTTTTTGCCCTGTCAAGTGCTTGTTGCTCGTCCTCGCCCCATGCCCATTTAGAATCTTTTTTCAGCAAGTTGTGAAGTGGTGCTAGAACAGAAGCAAGATTAGGTAGGAACCGACGATAATGTGAAAGCATTCCAACGAACGAGCGTAACTGGGCTCCGTTACGAGGTGAGGGTGCAGAAATAATGGGTTGTAATTTATCTTTCCGCGCGTGTAAACCATGCTTGTCCAGTCTATAACCGAGGTAGTCAACTGAATCAACTAGGAAAGCACATTTGGAGTGTTTCAAACGCGAACCGTGTTCAGCGAGTTTATGCAACACCCGGTCCAACGTGTACAAGTGCTCCTTTTCTGTGCGACCCGTGATAAGGATATCATCGAGATATGCGCAAGTGTTCGGTATGTCACGCACGATATTGTCAATTATCCTTTGGAAGATCGCCGGCGCTGAGTTAATCCCGAAAGGCAGTCTAGTGTATTCGAATAGCCCCAAATGTGTACTGATCGTCGTAAGACGTCGGGAGGTCTCATCCAACTCTACCTGCGAATAGGCGTGACTCAAATCCAATTTAGTGAACTTGACACCGCTAGACAAGTTGGCATACAAATCCTCAATTTTCGGTAATGGATAACGGTCTATGATGGCACCTCGATTTACTGTAAGCTTATAATCACCACAGATTCGTACGTTACCGTCGGGCTTAAGTACAGGCACTTTCGGGGCCGCCCATTCAGCTTGTTGGACTGGTACAATTATACCTTCTCTTTGAAGCCTTTTCAGCTCGTCTTCCACTCTAGGTCGCAAGGAATAGGGCAGTGTTCTGGCCTTAAAGAACTTTGGCGTACTTGAGTCTGACGTATGGATTTTTGCTTTAAAATTATTGAGTCTGCCCAATTGCTGCTCGTCAAACACTTCTGGATATCGTTTAAGGACCGATTCAAAGGTATCCTCCCCCACGGAGTGGATAGTATTTAATACTTGTGGTAACATTCTCATCCAATCGCGACCGAGCAAATTGACTGGAGCCTGAGGCACGACATAAAGTACCAGACTGTGTGATCTACCCTGATGCTGCACTCGTACCTGACACTTCCCAAGTAAATCAATCACTTCTCCTGTATAGGTTCTAAAAACGGTATCAGTCGGTTCCAGGTCGGGTAACGATGACAGCGCGTTTTTACTAATCAATGTCACCGAGGAACCAGTATCCAATTCAAATAAAACAGGTTCGTTATTAACATGAAGCGTGATCCTATATGGAGACACTTTAGTCATAACTGAGCAGTTTCGAATTATATGGTTCATAAAATTTAGCTGGGAATCTGGGCACTCACCGTCGTCGGAGTTCAATGATTTGATCGAGACTTGTGACCGTGGGGAACGGCAAACACGTGCCAGGTTGCCAAGTTTTCCGCAATTTCTGCACTTTGTGCGAGTATGAGGACACTGGGTGGGAGAAGTGTGCTGATCCCCGCATCGGTAGCAGACGAACTTCCGTACCCTGTTTTCAGAGGATAACCGTGGTGACAGTTTGTTTACACATTCCACAGGCTGAGGAGGGTTGAAGGTGGATAGTTGGGATTTTAGGTTTTCCCTTTGACGTACAAGGTTACACGCCATTTCCCAGGAAAGGGTTTCTTCCTCCTGTGACAATAATTTTTCCCTCGCACCGTCATCTGTAAGTCCACCAATTAGGCACTGGATTTTCATGACTTCTTCAAACCGACTTGATGGAATGGTATTGTACCGGCATTCCGGTGTAGCTTGATGAATGCGGGCGATGAAATCATTTACACTTTCTCCGCATCGTTGCTGTAGCTTGAAAAACTGATAACGAGCGGCACACACACTTTGTTGGATTCCCCACAATTCCTCAAACAACTGGATCACGTGCACAATGCTGGTCTTAGCCATCAAGTTCATAGCGTCAAAATGACGTTGTCCTTCTGATCCAAGGGCTTGGCGGAATAACATAATCCAATGGGTATCGGATAACACGATAGAGGGGTTTAACACAGGAAAGAGAGTCATTTGATGTTGGAAAGATGTTTTCCCCTGTATCCACGACTGGAGAGAGGGTTTTTCTGCACCTTCAGGCCACAGAAATGACAGCCCCGCAAGACGGCTCGTAGAAACCGTCGCCATTCTGATACGTATTACTCGAATATTGCTGGATCGCACCTGGACCCTTATTCCGCGCAAGAAGTGAATAAGAACACACCGGATGGGACGTGCCAAAAACTGTAATGGTAGCTTGTAGGTTACACCAGATGAATAAGTCAATAAGGAACCACTCAGCACAAGGAAAAAGAGTGGACGAATCAGCTATCGGTCAATCGATCTGTATGTGTCTGTGTGTTGCTCATCGGTTTAGCAGAAGACACACATGTAACAGATATCACCTGCTCAGCGGTGAAACTGCAAGTGTGCTGGGGATGACGGCATTCCGCCTGAAGTATTGAAACACGGTAGACCCGCGTTGGTGACTGAGATGTACCACTGGATGCAACGCGTATGGATGGAGCAGGAGGTGCCTGCTGAGCTGAAGGATGCTTTTGTGCTACCACTGTACAAGAGCAAAGGTAGCAAGCAATGTTGCACGAATTATCGTGGCATCAACTTGCTGAGTTGTGTGGGGAAGGTGCCTGCCCGAATCCTGCTCAACCACCTTTCAGGCAGATTGTGGAACCGGACGTGGCGGAAGAGCAATGTGGATTCCGTTCGGGTCGCAGCACCATCGATATGGTGTTTGCGGCTCGTCAGTTGCAGGAGAAGTGAAGAGAACGGTACCAGCCGTTGTACTCGCTGTCTGTTGCTTTCACCAAAGCATTTGATACGGTGAACCGCGAGGCATTGTAGCTGGTGTTGGGTAAGTTTGGTTGCCCGCGTAAGTTTGTAAGTTTAGTTGAATGTTTGCACAATGGTATGCGGACGAGGGTGCAGCCGAGTGGACATACCTCGGATGATTCGGAAGTTGTCTCTGGTGTAAAGCAAGGCTGTGTCTTAGCCCTTGCCTTGTTTAATATGTATCTTCATGCAATGTTGTCCTGTGCTTTTGATGCCGCTTGTGCTTATGGTGTTCGTGTGGAGCACCGTATTGATGGTGGGTTGCTGAACATCCGTCGTTTCGGTTCAAGAACCCTAGTCTTTGAGACAACTATCTGTACGTTGCTGTTTGCTGATGAGTGTGCATTGTTTGCGCATAGCGCGGATGTTGTAACACGTGACTAGTGCTCTCGGTTCGACAGCGGCCAAATGCGGGTTCACTATTAAAACAAGCAAGAATCTCCGTCTTCTGCAACTTACACCCGGAATGGAGTACGTGCTTCTGCTCCAAATCCAGATTTCCGAAGTGTGTCGAAACGACTTCGAGATTTTACTACCTTGGTAGCGTAATAACAACTGACCAGGAGTTGACGAGCGAGGTGCGCTGACGCGTTTCGAAGTTGGCTGCGGATTTTGGCAAGTTGGAATGTCGTGTGTAGAACAAGCACCTGCTCACTGTTGCGACGAAGCTGCTGGTGTGTAAGTCTACGGAACTGTCCGTTCTTCTATACGGCAGCGAAACCTGGGCGCTTTATTTGAAGGATGTCCGATATCTGAAACGCCTCCATCAGCAGTGTCTGCGCAGTATGCGGTGGACTGTATACTTTTGCTCAGACACTTAGGTGGCTCGGTCATGTGTGACGTTTGGATTCGACGCGGAGTCCGAAACAGCCACTTTATGGTTAACTGAGTGCAGGTAGACGGCACGTGGGAAAACCGAAGTTACGTTATCACGACATGATCAAATTGAGCCTACCACGTTCTAACTTTCATTGCAGGTCATGCAAGTCGAAGGCGGTTGATCAGCGTGCATGGCGCCATCTAATCACGAAGGCAGTTGCCGAGGTGCAAGAGAAAGCCCTCGTGTATGCAGAAAAGAATCGGTACTTGCGGAAGTGATAGGAGCCGAAAGGCTGTACTTCACTGACCTCGAGTGCTCGGCGCTGGATCACATGCGGTCGCCAGTGCTTGAGTCAGGCAGGCCCAGTGAGCCACGAGCGAGGACACTCAGGACCAGCATCGAACCGATGAGAAGTCCTGCAAAGAACGTAAGCAGAACCGGTGCAGTGTTGGTAGGTACGTTACATTCGGTTTACTGACCGCTGCTTGCGTACTGAGTTTCATTGTTTCAGGGGGTTGTTTTACTACTTTGTCTTACTGTTATTGTGTTACCTAATTTTAATCTGTACCCGAATAATATATTAATTCGAACATTTCGTTTAAACTTCACTTGCTTTTTTCCCATTCTTACATTATTGCCCTGATCTCCTTTCTGCCATCCTGAATCTATCACGGCTATTTTGATAATCCATTTAGTACATACGCTACTTTTGCGGAATATCTATACTGTGTATCCGATCTATTTTATTCAACATTTCACTTCATGTGATTGATTGTTGCTTAACATCCCCGGCGTTGGTGCGCTTGATGTGCTTGTTGAAAAGGTGCCTACCTGTCTATTACCCACTACCTCGTCCATACTGTCTCTAGGAAATAGGTGGTCGTTGCTGGAGGGGACGGGGTGCACGTTTCTTGTGGCCGTGTTAGGATCAAAGAGTGGTTCCATGCACTCAGTGTGGAGCGGACTACGTTCCAGCCACCGACTTGTGTACGTTTATGCCCCAAATAAAGCGTGCTTGTGTTTGTCTGTGAAGGAGTGTGGGCTGGCTCCGTTGTTGAAACGTGTCTTCCATCCACATGAATCCCGGTCTTATTCCTTCGGGTTTACACTGGATATGGGGTGTGTGGTTGGAGCTGTGGGTGGTGCAGCGCAAGCCACCTATGATCGCTCTGTAGGCGCAGGTGTCGTGTGGCTGGCAAATCCGAAGACGGATGCTGACAACTAGATGTACATAACTAGCAACCATTTCCATAAGCACTAGAGGACAGTGGTCTCGAAGATATTGTGCATCAGACACACTTCGGAATTTTAGCCAAACGTAAGTCCCGTGAATAGTGAATTCCGTCATTTCTTCAAATGCGTGTAGAGGTCGGGATTTTGTTCACATACTCTGTGAAGTATGATATTTCTTATACTAATCGCAGCTGGGTCAGTTGAACGGATTTTTACAGTTATGGCACGATACTAATTTATAGCCGCGCAGCACGACAATATGATGCGACTGTAACGTTGTTTAACTCTGTTAGAGGGGCAAGAGACCCGGTAAAATGTGTTAATGCAAGTAATAATACTTTATAGTCTTGTTCATCGGCACACATACTCTTATTCACTGATATTAATTGAACAAATGCCATGATTGAAGCGCTGTTGTCAATGATACATAAGACAAAAGCAAATTGCGATTGCTTACAACCTGACCTAGTCACAGCACGCTGAACAGCATCTTACTACATGTTTATCGACCTATGACAGGCTTAAAAGGCGTACCTTCGGTTCTGCATTAAGGTGGGTAGATCCGCCTTCTAAACTCCCCAACTTAGTTAAGCGTTGTTTAGTGCCAAACTGCTCAATCTCTTCAGCACTCTGGGCCATCTGTACTTCTTCTTGCTTCCTAACAATTGCCATCCAATTATCCACTGTACGGCTCATCTTGTCAAGTGGACATTTCTTGCTATCAAACTGGGTGACGACATGCTTTGCCAAAACAAGCTCCCGGAACCCTGGCACTGTGTACGGATTTCCAGCATGATTACAGAGCACATGAGCGATAAGTTGCGCGGTGCCGAACAAGCCATTGCTTGGTACTCCACAACACGGTTGGTATGAGCTACCGGACTTGCCCGATCGGATGTGAGAGTAATGTTCTGCTGTAAGCTCTGAGATTACAGTAGGGGAAACAAGACAGCTTCTGTATCCTTTGGTCTTGCTTGGACGCATCAAAGCCGAGGCATAGGTGCCCGAGCTCCAATACGGCTGCACAGTGCGGTTGCTTTTGAGCGGTTGTGGCGAAGTGGCCCGAGTTTTCCATGGACCACCAATCTCTCTGCTAACCCAATGAGGAAATGGAAATGGAGGGCCGGAGCCAGCAGGTAAATCTTGAAGAAAGACGCATCTAAATGCAAAACGAGAGGAGATTACAGGAAATCAGTCAGCTGACTGGAGATTCACGCTGAATTTCGGTTATCAGTACAAAGAAAACACGGAAAACCACGTACCCTTATAGTCCACAACGAGGATTTTGAATTCTTTAAAATTATTCTGAATTGTCACTGGAATGGTAGTGATCTAGGATATAAGAAAAGTCTTCAGTTTTTTAGGAAATGCAAAATTTCAGGATAAACCAACTCCCAGTCAAGTCACAGCTAAGTTGCCATTGCACCGGACGCCATACCTGCCGTACACGTCGGACACAATGGAAGTAGACATTCGATTGTAATTCCACAGTCAACATAAGGTCTTCAGAAAAACTGGATGGCAGCGTACACACGCAAAAGCAACACAGCCAAAAAGTCGCACGAGGTGAGAGTGAATTTCGAGGAAGTGCAATCTAGTACGTATTATTCTACCTCCAAACAAAATGTTCAAAGAAGGTAATGACAGAACTGATGAGAAAGAAAAAATGTGTAGCATTAATAAAGACTACAACATGCACAACCGGAGAAGTTCAGTTAGCCAGATCTAGATGAGTACATAACTTTATTGCCTCAGACTGGCCCGCGGCTTTAGGGATCACAAGCCTGTCATGTAATCCGGAGGTCACGGGTACGAGACTCTGTTGGGGACCGAACGACCCTCGCTGTATTCTTAGCTCAGGCGCGACTGGTGGTGGTAGCGCGATAGCGAAGTGTCGGCATTGCGCACCGGCGTACTGCTGATTCCTTTCTGTTGCATCAGATCTTATGGATCTGCTAAACCTTAAAGTCCGACTACATGAGACATAGACCGGAGTGGCCGACCATAAATCCGGACAAACATGAATCCACTACCTTTCCCAAAATGCTCACTGCGTATGTTAGGCCCTGTGTAGAATACAGGATTCAGGCCTGACAACCTTGGATAAACCTCGATCTGGTTTCACTGCAGACCCAAAAGCGAATGGCAACTAAACATATGAAGGGATTGTTTCACCTACTCTACTCTATGTGATTGAAAACCTTACGATTGTACAGCTGGCATAGGGGATCTTGAAAAACTACGGTCACGCTTGCCGCCACCTCCTGAAACTTATCCGCAGCACAAAATTGAGGAGTTATCAGTTGCAACTGACCACACAATACAGTCGGCTGGAATGCTGACGGAATTATTAATCTGGAAATTCGTGAGAATATTTGTAGCTCGTGTGTACTCCGAGCTGGGGGATTGGACTGCAGACGTTTCATCGTTAAGCTAGATAACACCGTCAGCGCGATTTATGCAGGCCCCTGCGATCCGAAGACACATGGAAGTTGGAAGTTTTCGATCATTGTTGTCTAAGGCTTATCTTGAAAACGCAGTGACATGAGCGTATCACTAATGACGAAATCCGTAAGCGCTGTTACGGTCTTCCGAAGCTCACAACGCTCATCCAACGCCGCAGACTTCTGTGCTTCGCTTACGTTATCCGCAGAACAGACACTGAGTTCATTAAGGTAGTGGTTTCCTCCTCCCCTTGCCGAGGTTGGTATCGTCACCGTAGTGGACAAGTACAAACGTGGCTCACTGCAGTGAAATCGGATGTCGAACTTCTGGGACTGAAGGTTGTGCGTGGTGCTCGTCACTGGAGGAATCATTAGATCAGTATCTGCGTGGAGGTTGCCGCCGACCGCCGCGCTTGGGCAGCTGCAATTCGTGACATTCACGAAGACGACTCATCCTGTCGCAGGAGCTAGCCGCAGTAAAGTAAAAAAGTATGTAAGATAGCACTAAATCCTTTATTTTCATCTTGCTTTGTACAAATTTTGTAATCTGTCCAATTTGTTCCAGATATTGTAGAGTGCGTTTGATTTTGCTCTCCAATCACTCTGTGGGATCTTCCTTGTTTAGGAGGTAGGTATTCACATCTTCGAGGAGTTCTTGTGCTTACTTTGTATACTAAGCTTTATCCATTATAACGGTAACACGTTCGGTAAGATAACAATATTCTAATCTACCCTAAGTTTTCTCAATGTTTTTTATTCGCGTTGAATGTTTCAGTTTCACTGCGTTTCAGTCCTGTAATACTGTGCCTGATTGTGTGTTGTGCGTCAGTCCTGATGTTACATAAGCTCAGTGTTGCCTCAAGCGCTGTTAGGAAATTAATGGAGTTAAAGTCCTTGTATCTGAATTGCAAGCCACGCGCAACCACAGCTTTTTCTGTATCCGACAAGGTTCGTTTGGAGAAATCCCTCATCAAGGCATCATCAAGATTCACTGCTTTAGGTTTGGAAATTCCCTCCAGTTTCTTCTCTAGCTTCTGATTTGTGTGGTTTGCTGTTGTGCCTTTTGATTGCTACCACCTTTTAAAGTTCTTTTGTCAATTCTGCACCGAGGTCAGCTAGGCATAGCTCCTTTTGGAAGTCGATTGTATGTGTATCGGTGACCAGCAGTCGATAATGCGTTGTCCGTGTTCTTGGATGAGTTTCCAGGCCAAAGGATTATTGATTGGAGAAGGGTACTGTACACTTAGCGGTAGGACATGTCTTTCGCAAGCATTCTTGAGGTAAGTAGAGTTGCTTCTAAGCGGAAGTTAGCCAGCAGACTTGAGCACGTCGTGCCCGAATTCATGAGAAATTCGTGAGAATATTCGGAGCTCGGGACGCGGATGAGGGTATTCTAGTATTCTCCGAGCTGGGTAATTTGGCTGCAGACGTTTCATCGTCAGGCTAGACAACATCAGTGCAATTTACGCAGGCAACTTCCAAATCCATGTGATTGGGTGGTAGGTGTTTACCTCCTGGAGAAGTTCTTGTGCTTCCTTCATATAATCAGCTTTGTCCATTATAACGGTAAGATGTCAGTCGTGGAACCATGTTACGACTTTTGTCATTCCTGTACCTACGCTAAGGAATTAAAAAAACGACGCAACGATACATTACGTCATCTGCATTAGTTGGTTAGTACTCTGTTGATCCTGTGACAGCAATACGCAGACAAACATTGTGCTCACCACCCCCGCGAAATTGGGATCCACGGGTATGCATGTGTGCTAACCTGGGTAATATGATGAGCCCACAGATGCGTGTTACAATTGAGCACAACTTTTTTAGTTGAGTTTATGTAATTCACACAAATCATCCCACAGAATCTGTGGAGCCTTAGCTTTCCTTTCCGTATCACACCATTGTTCCATCTACTGACAAGACACTACACTCCAAAGTTCCCATGTTGCGGCGTGGTCATTCCACCATCCTACCTAAGGTGGTACAGTATTTGAAATTGATGCACACATAGTCAGGGGATCTGCAAGTGTGCAGCAAATCAGCAACTGATAGATGTCACTGCATCACTATGGGTTATCTGACCAAACAGCGACGAGATCGGGTAAGCACCGGCGCTCAAGGATAGGTAGTTATGTTCTATCATCAACGCGATATGACCACACCTCTGAGCAATAAAGTGGCAGCGGTTCTACGCGGCTTCGTCATGCGCTCCATTTTTGAAAGCAAATTCGGTATCGAATTGTCTTCTAGGGCGTATGCGATGGAAAAAGAACACCTAGATCCTACCTGAACAACAGCAGCTGTGTACTCGAAGGATGATGTGCATTGAGCCACACTAATCTGCAGCGTTTTTAATGAAGATGGGTCCAATCCGAGGAAATCTGTGTCTTCGGTGCAACCCAGCCAAATCAGCTGCCAAACTTGCAGAATACGTATCGAAAATGTGGGTCATCCAAGGACATGATGATCAAGAAGTAGAAAATGTGTCAAATAATAATAATGTGTCAGCTGTACGCCGTAACGGCGCTTCGCTGCCGCGCAACCACCACCAGTCGCGCGCGGGCTGAGTATACCGCGAGGACGCCCACCCCTACACGGATTCGAACCGGTGACCTCATGGTTGCAAAGCAAACGTGCAGACCACTCGGCCACCGGCCGAGTGCGTGCGTGCTTTGTAGGTACTCCTTGGTCACGCTTCTTATAGAACGAAGATTCCAGCATTCAGATATATCATTTCGGTGCGACGTTTCTAGCTTGAGAGCTTCGCACGACCAATCAAAACAAAGAGACTCTCGAAGAATGGGACTTTGTAAATCACTTGAATGGTTGTCGCCGCCACATTACCCAAGCGATGGTATGATTTAACGGATGCATTCTCTGACTTGCATTCTCTCTGACCTGTAAGTCGTCATGAACGATACAGGGTTACTAAGGTTAAGGTAGCTAGGATTGTCTCACAACGAACTGTTGTTGCGGCCAAACATGGTACTAAAAGTTGACGACAAACAGACTACCTCAGACACTTCCCAATGCAGGATGTTCGTACCAAATAGGGCGGAAGACAAGCCGCAAGCAATTCGTCACTGGCCTTCAGCGACTGCAGTGCGGTTCCGTTGGGTTTGTATTCCTTATAGTCTCAAAGTGACATTTCACGCTGGACTGTCGGTGGCCAAACTGATGTCGTATATGTCATGCCCTACTGAGTAGAACAAACTGGACTTGCCATTACCACCTTCTGACTTAACCTAGGTCATCCAAAAGTCAAAACACCAGCTATAGATACGTGTACAGTATTATGCGGTGGGTGCGCTTCAAGAAATTGAAAAGCAGAGTAAGTAGACAAAAATGGTAAATGAGTACATTGGTTAATGCAGGCTCTTTTTCCACTGCGACAACTGGCCAATCAGTTCAGCCATGGGCACTGGTTTCAAATCATTGGTACTCAAAATGAAATCAACCGGTCAGAGAAAGTCATGTGGTTCCAGGATGTATAGGTAAACATCCAGGAACCACATGACTTTCTCTGACCGGTTGATTTCATTTTGATTCGATAAATTAGCGGTCGAGATTTCGGCTATCATCCCAATGACCTCTGGTTCCAATGCCTGCTTTCTCTACGTGATGAGAGCAGATTTTTTCGAAACCGGTCAGGTGGTGCAGTGTTTTCGGGGAGGGGGCAACGACCAATATCCTGATGTGTTGTCAGTTACAGTCT